TTGGTGTGCTCCATTTGCTCCGGAGTTTCTTATTTGGTCAGTATGATTTGGACGTGTATCGTTTAGTATGGCGGGGCCCTGTCCCGACCTTTATGATACTTATGTACTCTTAGATGCTTGTAGACATATGTCATGTACGTAATAGATTGTATGGCCTTGTCGGCCTATGTTCAGTGTGCGAGTGATCATTTTGGTCTTATAGGCCCGTATGTCTTATGTATAAGTTGGTATTACGTGTTTCATTCTAGTTATCCCACGACAGCCTTTCCGTCTCATTTACCTATGATAGCATAATACAAAAAGATATGTTATGTTGGTACTCGATTGAGTAAGGTACCGGTTGCCCGTCGCAGCCCATCGGTTTGGGTCGTGACACAAGGTAGGTAGCATGAATAACATCAAGGAGAGTGTTTAAGCGAATTTTCCAAATGAGCATCAATCACAGTTTTCAAGCCAATAACAATTCAATAAGCCTCAATTACTTTATTGTTCAAATATTTCAACAAGTCTCAAAATGATCTTCAACTCAAGTATAGAATCCAATATCTCAAGAATAACGGTCGTAGTGATGTATTGGTGATTAAGCATAGTGGTGACCGAATTAAACACATCAATAGTTTCACAAAAATCTGTCAAATTTTAATCAAGTTATAATAAGCTAAATCTTGGTTTCTAGCATTTAATTTCATATTCTTAGTAATCTAGAAGTCAAGTAAGACATGAAACAAGAAGGTCACGTAATTTCTACAAGGCACAATTAATCGTATAATTTACCCTCGAGCATGATTAACCCTGGCACTTGCATGCACGCTCGTCACCTTATATATGTATCACCCCCGCATGTAGCAAACAATAGCAATTAGTAGAAAATATTCTCCCAAAAAAGTTAGGCAAGACACTTACCTCAAACAAGTCAAACCGATACACTAGAAGCGCCATCCCGCTCAAATTATCCTCCGAACGACTCGAAACTAGCCAGAAACAACTCAAAATCATCAAATAATGCCATAGGAAGAAAACTCAATCGATAAAGGTCTAATCTTTACGCATTTACTCAAGGTCAACCAAAAGTCAAACCCGTGCACGCACCTCAAAACCCGACAACACTCACAAAATCCGACAACCCATTCATTTACGAGTTCAACCATACTAATTTCACTCAATTCCGACTCCAAATCGATGTTCAAAACTCAAAAATTCACTTTAGAAAAGTTTAGACAAAACCCCTCAATTTCTCCTTTTGAAATCATGAATCAAATGCCAAAAACGATGATGGAATCACGGAATATAATCAAAATCGTATAGAAGACACTTACCCCAATCCATGAGATGAAAATCACCTCCAAAATCATACAAATCCGAGCTCCTTAGCTCAAAATATGCTCAAATGTTCGAAGTTTTCGAAATAGAGTACTTTATATCACTGCTCCAGTAATACCCTTCACGAACGCGGTAGCAGCCTCGCATTCGCGAATCACAAACTCACACTGCCACACTTTACTCTACACGTTCGCAGCAACAACCTCGCGAACGCGATGAAGCACACGGCCAGACCTCCGCGATCGCGGACAAACCATCGCGAATGCGATGAAGAACCTATCAAGACTAACCAGTCCAGCTCAACACTACGCGAATGCATAGCCATGGACGCGAATGCGAAGACTAAAAACTTCAACCAAGTGCGAACGCGATCGCGAAAAATAAACAGCTCCACTAACAAAAATACCCATCGCGATCGTGTTCCATCTCCCGCGACAGCGAAGCACAACTGAAACACCAGAAAACCAGCAATCTCATACAACTCTGAAATGGTCTGAAGTCTATCTGAAATACACCTGAATCCCTCGGGACCCCGTCTGAACATGCCAACAAGTCCCATAACATAACACGGACTTACTCGAGACCTCAAATCACACATAACAACATCAAAACCACGAATCGCACCTCGAATTGAACGTAATAAACTTCTGAACTTTCCACTTCCAAAACTCATGCCGAACTATATCAATTCAACTCGGAATGGACTCAAATTTTGCACACAAGTCCCAAATGACATAATGAAGCTATTCCAATTTCCGGAACCACAATCTGAACCCGACATCATCAAAGTCAACTCTCGGTCAAACTTATGAACATTCCAAACCTTCAAATTTCCAACTTTCACCAATTCGTGCCGAAACCTCCTAGAATTATCCAAATGCAAATCACCCGGACCTAACAGAACCATCAAAACTCCGATCCGGGGTCAAATACGCAAAAAGTCAAACTCGGTCACTCTTCCAACTCAAAGCTTCTAACATGAGAATCCCTCTTCCGAATCGATCCCGAATCATCTGAAAATCAAAACCAATGATTCAAACAAGTCATAATACGTCATATAAAACTACTCAAGACCTCAAACAGCTGAACGAAATGCAAAGAGACCGGTCGGGTCGTTACAAATATTTTGATATATCACGATACTTTTATTATTTTATGTTAGTGCTGCTATTTACTGTATATTAACATCTCCTTTGACTATCATTATTGTACTTAAAAAAAATATTCTAAAAGGCATTTCTGGGACTCACCCGGGGTTCGCCCCTGGGCGGGGCACTTGAAAAACGCCTTGAGGCTCATGTATGGGGCTTAGTTCTGTGAGGCTTACGCCCCAAGCGCCCAACCGTGCGCCCTAAACACACCTAACGCCCAACGCTCGGGGCTCGCCTAACAGTTCTAACACAAATCACGTGTCGAATTTCCTAATTAATATCGTTGACCTTCAAAATTCTTTAACAAATTAATGATAAAAGTTCTATTCATCGATAGAAATATGAAGATTGAGCATAACTCAAATAATGAGACATAGTATTGTGAATTTATATCTTCACTTGTTATTGGTCGTGTCTTAGTTCATTTATCCCTCCTTGTTATACACTTTTATTAATTTGATATCTTAAACTAATTTGTATTTATTCATGAAGGAGTAATATTTTAATTATCGTACTAGTAAGATTTTATTAATTATTTACTTTTAGGAAGGTAAAATGTGGAGTTTGATCTTTTTTTAAAGAAATTATAAGTTTTTAATTATTTGAAAGTTAAAGATGTTATACGTGATTTGTATGGATTAGTTATGCTTAAGAATCATGCTAGATATTTATTTTCTATGAGTTTCTTTAATTTTTTTTTTTTAATTTTTAACTTTTAATTTATATTTTATATTTTTTTTGTGTTATTATGTAATTTTATTAATTTATAAATTAAAATTTTTAAAGATCCATGGGGCTTACGCTCCCTTCCCCCCGGCCTCCAGGCTTACGCATCACCCCATATCAAGTAAAACGTCCCGCCTCACGCTCCCGCCTTTTAAAAATATTGCTTGCAAGTAGCCTATAATAGATTGTTTGGCTAGTTTTTTGTGGGGATGGTGTTAGGATCGGAAAATCGGGTAGTGCGGAATTTATCCAAACAACGTTATAATGATAATAACAAAGACAATGCAAGTTGATAATAACGCCAATTAAAGAAGATAAAAAGACACAAATTTAACGTGGTTCGGTCAAGGTGACCTACGTCCACAAGCAGAGAGGAGCAATTTCACTATACCAACAAGAGTACAAAAGAGAGTACAAAATTAGAGTAAATACTCTAATTAGTCCCAAATACCCCAAGAGAATAACCTCACAAGATCACTCCAAAGAAAGGGTTCACATAAGTGTTTCCCAACACTCACTCTCTTACAAAATACTCTATAATGAAATAAAGGAGGAGAAAGAAAGACAAGAGTGAAAAGTTCTTGAATTGACGTGTTTACAAATGAGGAGAAGCTCCTCTATTTATAGCAAGAAATCCTTGGCCTAATAGTGGATATTATGTCATGGCAAATGTCATGATCCACAAATTTGTTATAGTGGATATTATGTCATGGCAAATATCATGAAAATTTGGCCCCCACTTGAGAAAAAGCCAAATAAATGGCCATATTACAGATGGAGCATATATATTTCAAATATTTATAGTTTTCTTCAATTTTTATGTAATTTTACCTGTTTATAAATATTTACTGTCATTATATTATTTTATAAAATATTAAAAATTAAATACCTATGGGGCTTACGTCTCGCTGAGGTATATGTAAAACGTCTCGTCTTACGCCCACGTATTTTAAAACATTGCTTACAAATAGCAGATTCTTGAGCCATTTGTCGTAGGTAATGCACTATTAATTTGTTTTATATTTAGTGCATTCTGTTAGCAAAGTACCCTGCGTGTAACCAAAATTTGGTCAAGTCGTGCATCTACATTAAGATGTCAATTCTTCCATTTTGTTACTACACATAGCATTAAACAGTTCCCTCTAAGGTTATAGTACATCACTACTATTATTTAGTTTTCTCACTACTAAAAAAGTAACTGTTTACCAACGCAGATTATCGTGGGACGTCCCTCGGTAATAAGGCTTTATCGAGAGAAGTCCGTCGGTAAGTGGGACGTAGGTAAATCGCTCGTCGGTAAAAGTAACTGACAAAATCCCTCGATAATTACCAATGGACCCCGTCGGACAGCCTTCGGTAGCTTTCTGACACAAATTGGTCAAATAATTTTACTTACCGACGGATATCCGTCGGTATATTATAAAATAATATAATCTCAATAATATCCATATCGACGGATATCTCTCGTTAATTAAAAATAATAATTTAACATTACTGACAAACACCATCGGTACATTTAAATTTTAATTTAGTAAATTTAAAATTTTAAAATATGAATAAATTCATATTCCGATGGACATTCGTCGGTATGTTCAACAAAATTTAAAAATTTATTTTTAGTATACCGACGGACTTCCTCGGTAAATAGGATCTCTGGATTGACAAATAAATATTTTTCTGACGGACTTTGTCGGTAATTCCCTCGGTAAATATGGTATATTTTTGACAAGCAATGCTTATTTTTTGCTGCACCACCTGCCAGCCAGAATATTCAATAGAAACAAAAATGCATCCACAATAAAATACAAATTAACAACAATAAAACTTTATAAACTATCCAAACATCCAAATTATCCCATCAAGCATCAAAATTATCCAACCAAACTTCATAATCATCCAATCAAAACTATACAAAATGCAACCAAACTTCAAAATGTAATACTCAAAAGTCAACATCCAACTAAACAATAATCCAACCAAACTTAAAATCACTCCTCATCTTCGGATTCCCCCTCATCTTCTTCATCATTTATATTGTTTCCATCACTTTCATCCTCTTCATAAATGTGACTTTTTGGCGAAGAGCGGGGCAGGCTGATTAAGTGGTTCACTTGAGCCTTGAAGGACTCGATGTCATTCCTAAGTGTGGTCATAATCTTCTCTTCCTGGATTATTTTTTCTCGTTCATTCGCTTAGTTCCTAGAAAGTTGTTGAATCATTCGCCGCATCTCCTCACTTTGCACAATTGCGGATGTCCCAATACCTTCCAATCTACAAAAGAGAAGTGGAAAAAATACACAAAGAGTTAGAACCTGTAATATGATATGTTAATTTACATTCAACAAATGTATTATTGCATCTGATTGAGTATTTGCATACGGTGCTCTAAAATAGTAGTCTTTTTCATTTCTGATATTTCTCAACATACGAACTTTTTCTTAATGAGTAAAGACACCATTATCTAGGAATGTTATTTTAAGATCCATAGCTACATCATGAATATGGTCACAGAACTACAGAGTCTCCAGTGATATAGCTTAATCTTGCATCGTCCAATTTATAATTCCTTAGACAACAAAAGGAGAGCTCCAGCAGCAAAAACACACAGACAAACTAAGAAAGTATGGACGACGTATATTATGCTAGTATTTCTGACCCCAATATAATCAATCATGTGATGTCCATCATTGCCATCTTACTATTTTCTTGGACTATAATCGTCACTTGGCAAAAATTTCTTAAGTATAATAATTAGCATGCAAGATTCTGTCCTGACGCATAGCTTCTGCTTCTGCAACTTCCTATAGAATAACTTCTGAAACAGTTTCCTGCACTAAGTTAAGACTAAAGAATATGCAAAAGATAATTTCAAAAGGAACAAAAACTATTTATCCAATTTTCAAGGTTGTTCTCCAATAGTTGTTGAAATGGAAACTTAATTCCATTGTTTTTCACTATTTCATATATACACTAGTACTTCAGAAAAATTGCAAGGAAACTCCTAACATTAAAAGCATGATTCGGTTGCATACAAAAAAGTAAAGAAAACATAAGTTGACAAAATGTGTATCTGCAAATCCACTGCATCTTTTGAGATTCATGCATATCCAAAGTGTGCTTACTAACACCAAGTTAAAAAATAGTTTGATGCAGCTGAAGCAGAAAGTATAAGGAATTGTGGTGGAAGAGTGCTAGCACTGGAAAAAGAAGCAGATAAACAAAAAAAAAAGAGCTTATTAACAAAAAAGTATATACCTTGTAGTCCGCACTCGAGGCCATGATAGTTGCACTCGGAGGAAAGGCCGTATGCTCTACCCTTACACGCCGCCAACCACGTTCAACCAAAATGGGAGAGTTTCTTCCTCCGATAGCATGATTGGCGGGCCTTGCTCATCGGTCGGCTGACTCCTAGCGAGCTTGACCAATGCTTGTTTATACCAATTCTACATTAAAAGTGAAAATTAGTATATAAAAATCATTATAATTTTTTTTTTTAAGTTAATCTTGATCTTACATAAGTCTCCTCAGCCCGTGGCTCAACCCAAGATTCCTATCGTACATCCACATACAATGTTCCATCTATATATACAAACAACAAATTTATTATTCTTACTCATTTAATATTATAACAATTACAACAGAAAACAGAAATTTGAATGGATTCTACCCTATTTCAATCATGAACACAAACTCCTATACGAGACAAACCAATATCACATGATACTTATCATACACAACATACTAAAATGGCACCAGCATCAAAATCCTAAGTCCAAACAAGCAATAATATCACAAACAAATCTCAAGAGTAAGGTCCATGGCCCGAAAGCACAACCATTGAGTGTAATTAGTGAATCAAAATGTACAGTGTAAAGCACAACTATATTTCAAGTCTTTGTAAACTCATTTCTAAATGTACAGTGTGATACTTTGAGGCATATACTGTATTTTTTATGCAATATCAGCACCCCATACAATGTCTTCATGAGTACTTTAAAATGAAGCCTACTATGCACTTTGTATACTTATCTTATTAAGAATTATTTCCACTTAGCAGATGATTGATGCCAAGAATGTACCAACTATTGTGTATGTGCTAGATTACAATTTACCAACTATCTTCTCAACATTAACAACGGGATAAATCTATAGGGGAATCATCATAATTGCATAAAAGATGCGTTCATTTGATTTTTCCATTCTAATTTACTCCAGGAATGAATATCTACACGTTATACCACTTTTTCATAGTTTTATTCATAAAATTGAGTATATACAGTTCCACAATGGTTGAGGTGAATGAATTTTTACTAATCGAGTATTCAAAATCGTAACTATTCTTGGACACCTTTCATTTCGATGGCTGGTCGGAAGGAAGAAGAGAGAGACGATGTGCACTCCACGAGAGAAAACTGGAAAATTAGAAAGAAAATAAAAATAAAAACGAGAGAACACAAATGTGCACTCCACGAATCTAACCAAGATTTCTAATGTTCTCCACGAATCTTTTCCCCTTACTAGTACTACTACTTCATTCAAAGCAAGATTTCTAACCAACACTTGAGCTCTCAGTGTTTTAAATTCCTCTAAATAATTCAGAAAATAATAGAGAAAAAGGCAAACAAAATGCAACCATTGAAAGAAGCAGCAACAACCTAAACAAAATTGGGACAAAAATCTAAAAGAAACAGCAACAATCGAAAGGAAATTGGGAGATAAAAAAAAAAATTACCTGTCACTCGGGCTGGTCGGAAGGAGGAAGAGAGAGACGATGGCTGAGGGTTGGTCGCCGTTAGAGTGAGGAAAAGAGAAAAAAGCGGGAGAAAGAAAAAATGACTAAGGTTAGGGTTTCTTCTACCGAGTGGTTCCGTCCGTAAATATCGGTAAATAATAACTTTAATAAATATTACAAGCTAATATATCAATTACTCATAAGTATTATAAGTAATTAAATTCTAACTAACAAATTACTATGAATCAATAAAAATCAAACTAATATTTTACAAAAAACTAACATATAGTTGTATAATATAATTCTGCTTACTGTAATATTTCACAAAAATCCATTAATATAATGGGAATACTTCACATAAGAACAATAGGCTAAGATTCAACATTCAACTCCAATAGATTCTCGAAATTACTATTTAATTTTTAAAAAAGATTGCTCAAGCTTTTTAGTTAATTTTCAAATTAGTAATTGTGACTCAAATATTAGTTCAACAAACCAAATTCATTTGGGTGATGAAAATTAGATTTTTAACAAGCTTAAATATGTGGGTTTAAATTTCGAATTTGATTTTGTGAGAAATTTGGAGTGGGTGTTATTTAGACTTGTTAGAAATAGTATAAGGAGATTGTATATAAAATTTGAAGTCATTTAATGGATATTTGGACTGGTTTTGAACAAGAATTGCAACTAAAAATCGTGGAAGAAGTTCGTCTACAGACGCTTGTATAAAGGTATATAATAGTGTATAAGATGTGTTTATACACTCTTATACACTGTTATACAAGATTATACATAATTATACAAAAAACTGACTTCGTCTTCTTCCTTGCGTTTTTTCCTGAAATTTAGCTCAAATCTACTCCAAATCACTTCAAATTTAAATTTTGAACTAACTTTTGATATTTTCAATCAATTGGAACAACACCCAATCCAAACAACTAACAAACTCAAAAAAATCCTATTTTCGAAAGCAAAGCTTTGAATGACCTTCAATCGTGGACTTCTACTCTTCAATTTTCTTACATTGCAACCAGGTGATACGGGGGGAGAAGCAGTAATGGCGGTCGGCCCCTTAAAGCATATGTAGAAGATGTGAGAAGAAGAGAGAGTGAAAGCAATGGTTGTGAGAACACAAATTTAACTCCATAGTTTTTAGAAGCAATGGTTGTAAGAACACAGATTTTGAATTTGCTAGTGCTTTCAAAATATGTACAATATGGGCTAGGTCGGGTAAAATTTAAAAATATGGGTTATTTTTTATTATGGTGTGAAGTCAAGTGTATTTTCTTGTAATTCTTTCTAATATAATTCTCAAATTTAGAACAAATCACAAGCTAATGATATCACTAACATATCTTAGGCTTACACTTTACTTAGTGTAATTTTCAATGAATTAGATAATTAATTATTAATATTAATTAATGATGTCACTAATATATTTCTACTTACTTTAGTTATCAATTTAAGATAATTAAATAATCACTAAGATTTTTCACGTATACCATTAATAAATTAAACTTCTACTTAGTGTATAATTAACAATGTATAGGCTAGTGAATCACTAACATTACTTGTCACGACCCAAAATCTAACCATGGTCGTGATGGCGCCTATCGTATTACAAGGCAAGCCTATTTTCCAAAATATTACTACTAAATCGATTATGAGAATTTAATAAAATATTTCCAACATTTGAATTTTTCATAAACTAAATCAACTCTAAATATAATTATAGAAAATACGGAAACGAGCCCCAAACATTGGGGTGTCACTAAGTCATGAGCGTCTAAATCCGTGAACTAAGAAATAAACTGTCTAACTGTCAATACAGTCCAAAAGAAATGATAAAAAGAGTAACAAGGTCCTGCGGACGCTAGCAGCTACCTTGCAGTCTCCAACTCACCTGGATTTGCACATAAAGTGCAGGGTGTAGTGTGAGTACAACCGACTCAGTAGTAACATAAATAACTAAGGAACTGAGTAGTAGTAACGAGCTAAGTAGGACAATTCAATTATTTCTTTATCACAATTTAAAATAAACAGAAATAAACAGGTAAATTCCATCAACTCAATAAATGTTACAAAGAAATTAACAGGTAAAATGCAGCAACAACAAAAGCAATGAATCATCATAGCAATGTCACTCCATCACTCAGCACTCGGTTCTCGGCACTCGAACTCAGCACTCAACACTCAACACTCAATAGGTACCTGCGCTCACTGGGGGTGTGTACAGACTCGAGAGGGGCTTCCAAAGCCCAAACGCTAAGCACGGACAACTCACGTGCTGCACGGACAACTCATGTGCCATAATATCAATCCCTGGATCCGCACGGTCAACTCACGTGCTATGGTATCAATATCTAGATCCGCACGAAAAACTCACGTGCTTCAATCAAATACCTCACAACAGGCTCTCGGCCTCACTCAATCATGTACCTCTCTAGCCTCACCATCATCAACAAAAAGGGAAACACAGCCCACGTCAAGTATCACAGCATATCAGCAAAATAATAGGGAATGAGGTAAATATGTACAATAATATCTATGACTGAGTGCAAATAATGTGAGTATGAATAAAGCCTAAGCATGATCTCTAACATGAAGGCAAAAAAGTTCAATAACAAATAAACACATAACCACAGATAATAGCCATTAGGCCTCACAGCCTCACGGGACGGACCAAGTCTCAATCCCTCGCGGTGCACACCCACACGCCCGTCACCTAGTGTGGGTATCACTTCCAAATAATCACGTGATGTCAAATCTCCGGGTTTATACCCTCAAAGCCAGAGTTAAAACTGTTACTTATGTTAACAGCGTAAAATCCTACTCCGGGATGCCTTCGCCTCTGGACTCGGTCTCCAAAAGCTCCGAATCTAACCAAAATTTGAATACTACTATCAACATAGGCTAAAGAATCAAATTCCACAATAAAAATCACATAAATAGGCCAAAAATTCGAAATCGGCCAAAACCCGGCCCCGGGACCACATCACAAAACCAGTCAAAAATGGAAGAATAACAAACCTCGTCCTCACGCGAGTCTAACCATATAAAATTCGTCAAAATCGGACTCCGTTTGGTCCCTCAAATCCTCACTTAAAACTCTCCAAAACACAAGCCCTAGCTCCCTCAATTTTACCCTAAACCCCTACTAATTTCATGGCTAATCAGTGGAAAAACATAAAAAAAAAAAACGCGTAAATGAACCCAAGTAACTTACCTCAGTGATATCTCTTGTTTCTCCCTTGGAAAGCACTGCCCTAAGCTTAAAAACTTGCCAACAATGGAGTAACAAGGTCCTGCGGATGCTAGCAGCTACCTTGCAGTCTCCAACGATAGCCGGCCTGAACTCAACGATCGTCGCGCTCTAACTCACCTGGATCTGCACATAAAGTGCAGGGTGTAGTGTGAGTACAACCGACTATGTAGTAACAGAAATAACTAAGGAACTGAGTAGTAGTGACGAGCTAAGTAGAACAATTCAATTATTTCTTTATCACAATTTAAAATAAACAGAAATAAATAGGTAAATTCTATCAACTCAATAAATGTTACAAAGAAATTAACAGGTAAAATGCAGTAACAACAAAAGCAATGAATCATCACAGCAATGGTACTCCATCACTCAGCACTCGGCTCTCGGCACTCGCACTCAGCACTCAACACTCAATAGGTACCTGCACTCACTGGGGGTGTGTACAGACTCCGGAGGGGCTTCCAAAGCCCAAGCGCTAAGCACAGACAACTCACGTGTTTTACGGACAACTCACGTGCCATAATATCAATCCTTGGATCCGCACGGTCAACTCACATGCTACGCGGACAACTCATGCGCTATGGTATCAATACCTGGATCCGCACGGACAACTCACGTTCTTCAATCAAATACCTCACAATAGGCTCTCGGCCTCACTCAGTCATGTACCTCTTTAGCCTCACCATCATCAACAAATAAGGGAAACACAGCCCACGTCAAGTATCACAGCATATCAACAAAATAATAGGGACTAAGGTAATCATGTACAATAATATCTATGACTGAGTGCAAATAATGTGAGCATGAATAAAGACTAAGCATGATCTCTAACATGAAGGCAAACAATTTCAACAACAAATAAACACATAACCACAGGTATTAGCCATTAGGCCTCACAGCCTCACGGGACGGACCAAGTCTCAATCCCTCGCGGTGCACACCCACACGCCCTTCACCTAGCGTGGGTATCACTTCCAAATAATCACGTGATGTCAAATCTCCGGGTTTATACCCTCAAAGCCAGAGTTAAAACTGTTACTTACCTTAACATCGTAAAATCCTACTCCGGGATGCCCTCGTCTCTGGACTCGGTCTCCAAAAGCTCCGAATCTAACCAAAATCAGAATACTACTATCAACATAGGCTAAAGAATCGAATTCCACAATAAAAACTACTTGGATAAAAATCCGAAATCGGCCAAAACTCGGCCCCCGGGTCCACGTCTCGAAATCAGTCAAAAATAGCAAAATAACAAACCTCGTCCTCACCTGAGTCTAACCATATAAAATTCGTCAAATTCGGACTCCGTTTGGTCCCTCAAATCCTCACTTAAAACTTTCAAAAACTCAAGCCCTAACTCCTTCAATTTCACCCTAAACCCCTACTAATTTCATGGCTAATCAGTGGAAAAATATCAAAAACACGCGTAAATAAATCCAAGTAACTTACCTCAGTGATATCTCTTGTTTCTACCTTGGAAAGCACTGCCCTAAGCTCAAAAACCGGCCAACAATGGTGAAGAAAGGGCAAAAATTCACGAAGTTGGGCTTATATAGTTCTGCCCAGGGGTTTCGCACATGCGGACCCCTCCTCTCACCTGCGCAACTGCATTTGCGGTCCCAAGTGTGCACCTGTGCATTCCACTTAACCGTCCAGGCTTCGCACCTGCGGCTGCCCCTTCGAACCTGCGGGCTCGCAGATGCGACACACCTTCCGCTCCTGCGAAGCCTGCCCAGAGCCCTTTTTTCCGCATCTGCGCCCCAGGTCTCGCACCTGCGGGCTCGCAGATGCGACACACCTTCCGCTCCTGCGAAGCCTGCCCAGAGCCCTTTTTTCCGCATCTGCGCCCCAGGTCTCGCACCTGCGGGCT